AGGCAGAACGTGTTCATGAGTTAAATGAAGAAATTGGTAAATTATTAGCCAAGGTGGAACAACTGGGAGCTGAAGGGAATGTGGAAGAATCCCAGAAAGTAATGGATGAAGTAGAAAAAGCACGGGCAAAGAAAAGAGAAGCAGAGGTAAATTTCTGTCTATTTTTCTTGAAAAACATATATTTGGAAAGTTATTAAGGGATTTTAGGGCTGGGGAGGTGGCTCAATAGAATAAGTGCTTCCCTGGCAAGTGCAAGGGCCTGAGTTCAATCCTTGGTTCTGCCAAAAAAAAAAGAAAGGATTTTTAAACCAATTTAAAATATTTAAGTGTTTATGTGATATAGTTGGGTTTTGTTTCAGAATTAGTAGTTTTTGAAAATTTGGAGTCATTGAACTGTTAAAAAAGAAACTGGTAAACCAGCCACTCATGTGTTAGTTAAGTACACAGAAGACACACACAGTCTGCATCTTCTTAGTCACTATGACTCCTTGCCCCCCACTAACCCAGATGGTGGCCTGTGCAAGTGCCAAAGTGGCATTCGTGATTGTCTTGTTACTTCAGTATAGTCTGCTAATTCCCTGGGTGCTTTGTCTCTTCCTTCTTTTGCAGCACAGGTAAACATCTGGTATCTACAGAAAATGTTCTATTTTGATTGATACAGCATATCTAAATTGGTACTTAGAAACTCCTGTGTCTTTAGTAGGCATTGCACTGTACTTGCTGCCCGTAGCCATTGCCACTAAGGTATTGAATCAGGCTGGCTGTATAGTTGCTGTATGGCTGCTACAGCTACCTGAGGCTGCAGTCCCTACTTTCCTATGCTTCCTCTCAACTCCGGGTGACCTACTCCAGTTTTTTTTCGTTCTTAAATTTTTTACCAGTGTATTATGGTTGTGAAGATGGCAGGATGTGTTGTGGTCAGATCACAACTGGGGAGCAGAGCCTTGGCACCCATAGTGCTTCAGAGTGCTTCTCTTTTCCTTTCCTGGTATTAGTGCTGCTCTTCAGAGTAGAGAGAAGCAAGAGAAGCAGAAATGAGGAGAGCCATTTTAGGATGCTCTCAGCATCTCCTCACAGTATTGGTAGAAAGATACTAACATACTACATTCAGGGCTGGGGAGATAGCTCAGTGGTCTGAGCACCTGGCAAGCACAAGGTTGTGGGTTCCATCCCCCAGTGCCACATGCTGTGCAGGCCCCGAGCTGAGCCAGCCACCGAAACTGGACACGGTGGTGCACACCTGTAATCCCAGTGCTTGGGAGGCTGAGACAGGAGGATCACTATGAGCCTGAGCTGCATAGCGATACCCTGTATGAAATAAATGAATAAAAGATTTAAAAAAAAAATTTTTTTTAAAAAGGAACATACTACTTTTGGCAGTATATTCTTCTCTTCTCTGGAGAAAGAAGAGGCCCTAAAACATGTTAGATATTTTTCACAGAAAGGAAAGAATTGAAGAAAACTCATGCAGTGTATCTTATTCCTCAGCCTTTTTTTTTTTTTTTTTTTTTTTTTTTTTTTTTTTAATTTATTTTTTTTTTTTTTTTTTTTTTTTTTTTTTTTGGTG